TTTTTCGTGTGTTGAGGATGTCTCGAGCGAAACGCTTGCTCCGCAGAGTATGCCGAGGATGTCTCGAGCGAAACGCTTGTTTTGCAGAGCCGACCGCGACGCGGAAAAGCGCCCCGCGCGAAGGAATTTCGATGATGTCTCGACTAATTCCTTTGTTTTTGTACGATTTCCTGGAATTTTGGCAGGATGTCTCGAGCGAAATGCACGACCCCACCCTAGCACGACCATACCCCATCACGACCACACCCCAGCACGACCAGACCCCAGCACGACCCCACCCCAGCACGACCCCACCCCAGCACGACCATACCCCAGCACGACCACACCCCAGCACGACCCGACCCAGCACGACCCTACCCCAGCAAGACCACACCCCAGCACGACCACACCCCAGCACGACCTCACCACAGCACGACCACACCCCAGCACGATCACGCCCCAGCACGACCACGCCCCAGCACGACCACTCCCCAGCACGACCACCTCCCAGCACGACCACCCCCCCAGCACGACCACCCCCCAGCACGACCACCCCCCAGCACGACCACACCCCAGCACGACCACTCCCCAGCACGACCACACCCCAGCACGACCACACCCCAGCACGACACACCCCAGCACGACCACACCCCAGCACGACCACACCCCAGCACGACCCGATCGATAAATCACAGGGTGCGGAGCACCCCAGCACGAACCCACCCCAGCACGACCCCACCCCAGCACGACCCCACCCCAGCACGACCACGCCCCAGCATGACCACACCCCAGCACGACCACCCCCCAGCACGACCACTCCCCAGCACGACCCCACCCCAGCACGACCCCACCCTAGCACGACCACACCCCAGCACGACCACACCCCAGCACGACCCCACCCCAGCACGAGCACACCCCAGCACGACCCCACCCCAGCAAGACCACACCCCAGCACGACCGCACCCCAGCACGACCTTACCACAGCACGACCACACCCCAGCACGACCACGCCCCAGCACGACCCCGCCCCAGCACGACCACGCCCCAGCACGACCACGCCCCAGCACGACCACGCCCCAGCACAACCACCCCCCAGCACGACCACCCCCCCAGCACGACCACCCCCCAGCACGACCACCCCCCAGCACGACCACACCCCAGCACGACCACTCCCCAGCACGACCACACCGCCTTGGTTGAGTGGTTGCCTGTCGTCGTGGAATGTTTCGTGGGGTGTCTCGTGGAATGTTTCGCGGGGTGTCTCGTGAAATGTTTCGTGAGGTGTCTCGTGGAATGTTTCGTGAGGTGTCTCGTGGGCTGTTTCGTGAGGTGTCTCGTGGGATGTTTCGTGAGGTGTTGCCCAGTTGGGTATCATGAAAACGTGTCCATGCTCCACATGTCTATATCCCTTTCCGGGTTCGTGGGTCCATCATGTTGCCGCCCCCATTTCAGGCGCCAGCAGCAGCGAACAATTCCGGTTTTGAGCGAGCGTTTCGCTGTGATTTTTGCTGATCTAAAGGTTTACGCC